GAACTTGGCTAGGTGTGTCTAAAACTAATGTATGTGGAATTTTGTGAGAGGGAAGGTTTAGAAAAAGAATAGAGAGAGGGAAAGTTTCTAGCTTTAAGAGAGATAGATGATGGAATAATGATTGTGAAGGAATAAAAACGGAAAGATGCGACCCCTATTTATAAAAAAAAATAGTCCGAAAACGATAGAAAAGAGTTCGAGTCCCATTCGGAATAAAATACCTCCTGTCGCCAACGACAGGAGTTAGCGTCAGACGACAGGCTTAGCGCCAAGCGACAGCCTTGTCGTCTCGCGCTAAGTCAGAATTAAAACGCGCTTTCCACGCAGAATCCTCTTCTTAATATGATTAAGTAGCTAATTCCGCATTGATCAGATTAAAATCATGTTTGTGACAAATCACATAAGGGTTTTTCACCATATGCCCCTGAGTTTTTTGTTTATTCAACATATGCCCCTGTACTTTTTTAAAATCATCATATACCCCCGAGTTTTCACAAAAATACACCATATACTCGTGATGACTAATGATTGTTAGTTTTGTCAATCATTAGAGTTATTATGAGCCGAAACCACCCTAAATACATTTCCCAACCCCCAAAACCACCCACATTCCTTTTCTGACCCCAAAACCACCCTAAATTTTTTTTTTCTTATCCTGAAAATCAATCGTATGGATATGGTTATAGAGTTTTGGAGTGGTTTCAGGGGCTGAAAAAAGGAGAGGAGTGGTTTTGGGATGAGGGGGAGAGATCTTAAGTGATTTCGAATTATATTTAACCAAATTTCACTCATCTTATTTTTATTAGGGGTATATAGTGAATTACTGTAACAATTTAGGGGTATATGGCGAATTTGAAAATTTTCATGGGTATATGATGAATAAACAAAAAAAACTCAGTGGTATGTGGTGAAAAAACTCACATATTCTATTCAAAATAAAACTCTTTAAAATATAATTATTAATCCTAATCCCATTAGAATTTAAAAGAACCTTCTAGATATTCTAGAAGATTAAAACCAATCCTAATAACTTTAGGAATAATAATTAGTAGGCCCTCCTCTAGATCATTGGACCACATATAAAATTCATTTTAGGCCAAATTTAATTTAATCCATAACTTCCTCATTATTCATCGGAATTGGTCTTATAATATATCGTTGGAAAGCTCTTTTCGAGCCCAATCCAACTATACTATTATTGGACCCTTATCATGGAACAAACTAAATTGGACTGGACATTTTCATAAATAGAGTGTAAGAATAAATATTTTCAAAAATAGAAAGAAAGATATTTTAATAAAAACATCCACATCACTGGACTTTTCATACTTTCACTCCGTTCGATAATCAAATGACATGAAAGATATTCATTACTGGGTTTGGTTTTTGGGAGACACATTTGGGTGTCTACACCATGTCACCAACTCAACTCCTTAATATCGTACATCACCCACGCAACCAACAATTACACTATACTCGGTTAGATCCCGTGCCATGCACGATTTTCCACTCTTTATTACGGTGTATAAATTTAATATTATATTTAAATATAATAAACAATTTGGTGTAAAATAAATTTCTTATTTTATAATCAACCAACTTAAAATAATTTTTTGTTGTCCTTTACAACTGCATATTTTATTTTATATTCAATCTTAATTATATTTTGTACCCTAATGGTATATTATTCTTTATTGTATATTTGAAAATTTGTCATTTACTAATTAATTTAGCTTGAAAGATACATATTCATGATTTTTTTATAAATAATCACTATACATTTAAAAGTAATTAATTATAAAGGAATTTAAATAAAGATATGGTTAGATATCTAAGTTGGTAAACATATTATTTTGTTATTTTTTTCCTTAATTTTAGAAGAAAATATTTGCATATATTCTCTATCAATTTTTTCAATTATTTTTTAAAAATATATTAAGGACACATCAGAAGATGTACATGTCATTGTTGGTGTGTCTTTTAGTATATAGTTATTGATTAATGATTGATGATGCCTCAACTAATATTTTTTTTTTTAAATATGGATAAAGAGGTTTGAACACTAAACCTTTTAGACGAAAAGTCATTGGTTAACCATCTAACAAATTGTCACTTATGTTATCATCTTGCACACAAATGAATTTTATACTACAAAAGTAATAGAATCACATATAAACTAATAAACGTCTTTTAAAAAATTAACAGTTGCATAACTACAAAAAGTAGCAACCCGGGGCAGCGCCCGGGCTATACACTATTTAGTATTAAAGAGTGAAATTGAATAAATAAAAAAAAAACAATTGCACATGATAATCATCGTTTAATTGGATTATGAAGCACTCAATAATCCTAGTTCGGCTATGTTTGCAGATTTTCTTGAATTAGATAAATAGTAATTAACATCTAAGAAATCAAATTTATTCTTAATTACATAGAACATGAATTAATAGTATATGATTGAAAGTAAACAAATTGGGGTTTTAACTTGCCTTCAAAAAAAATTAGGGTTTTAAATTAATGAAGGGATGATATTTAAATTAAAAAAAAAAAACAATTAATTTATACTTACTGTAGGGAATATTTCAAGCATTACCCCAAACTTGAACCCCACTGTGATCATACACTTAAGCATGGTGGCTTCCAAAGGGAAGGAAGCTAGAGCAAAAGAGTCGCCAACAAGTTTTAGGAACTTGTAAACCGTCCATAGGGTGAAGGTTACACCCCTTAACGATCCAAAAGATCGTTAACTCTAATAGGTCTGGAACCAAGACTGGAAGTTCGGGGATGAAGGTACAAAAGCAATCTAAAAGAGAAAGAATCTGCCCTAAAAATAGGCCTCTACTTTATTCTTCTCGTATTCATGTGCGCTTTCTGACTAACATGCAATCAATAGGTTTACCCTAAACCTGTTTAATCTATTTTGGGTTGAATATTAATGCACAAACAAAACTATCATTGGCGATCACTTGAATTATAACCAAATTAACCCTAAACAAGATTATTAATTATCTTATTAAGCGTGATTACAAGTACAAATTTCCTTTAAACATGCATAAAAAGGCGTGATCAAGCAATAACAATATAAATCAAGCAACATAATAAAAAACAATCATAATTAAAATAATCATGTTAACAATAAAGCATAATATTAATAGCAAGATTCTAGGCATGATATAACAAGATTAATAACAAACCCTAGCATGTCACTAAACATTGATGATCAAAGCTTTAGCCCTAAAATGATACTAACATGATATTAGGAAAGAAATAGGAAGCATCATAGAAATCATAATTGATATAAGGAACTTATTCTTTACCCTAAACATCATAATAAGAAAAGTATCCTAACATGATACTAGGAAAAGCATCCTAACATGATACTAGGAATCAAAATAACAACCTAAGCATGATTTCGATATCATAACATCAATTAAACAATTAAAGCACTTACTTGAATGCCTCGTATCTCTTTCTTTCACGTATACGGAAAAGGCAACTTTGAACTTGGCTAGGTATGTTTAGATCTAATGTGTAAGGAATTGTGTTTGTAAAAGGCTAGGCTAGAAAGAGGAAGAGAGAATCAAGACATTCTTTATGAGAGTTGATGATTAAAAACGGAGGTTTAAGGACGCTATTTATAATGAAAATAACCCGGAATAGATAAAAAAAGAATCGGAGTTCGAAAAGTAATAAAACACGACGATGTCGCTGCAATAGCCCATGTCGTCGCGCGACAATGTGCAGCGCCACGCGACAAGCCTGTCGTCCGCCGCTGCAAGACGTTTTTGCGGATTTTGATTTTATCATATCATTTGATCCAAAAGTCCAAATAAGGCATATAATATGTCTTTGGAAATATCTTGAAGTCTACTTTTTAACCCAATTAGAATCAGATTAAAATATTTTGTAGATAAAAAGATATGACCGAAATAGTGGAAGGGTGTCAGTTTTGGATAGAGTTTCGTATCTCATTCATATCTTTTTCGTTATTGCTCGAAATTATTATTATAATATATCATTGGAAAGATAATTTCAATATTTATCAAACCATATAAAATTTGGATAAATATTATGAGTCACGAAAATAATATCTGAACATATTCCACTTCGTAAAAAACAAGGATTCTCAAAAGGAGTAGTTTTATTTAATTTCAAACTCTTTGAAACATAATTATCAATCCTAACTCCATTAGGATTTAAGAGAACCTTCTAGAGTATTCTAGAAGACTATAATCAATCCTAATAGCTTTAGGAATGATAATTAATAATAGGCCCTCCTCTAGATCATTGGGCTGCATATAAAAACCAAACCGGGCCCAGTTTAGTAATTTGGCCATAACTTCTTCATTATTCATCGGAATTGGGCTTATAATATATCGTTGAAAAGGTTTTTTCAATCGTTATCCAACTACACTATTATTGGACCCTTGTCATGGACCAAACTAAATTGGAATGCACGTTTTTTATAAATAGGGTAAGAAAAGAAATATTTTCAAAAACAGAAAGAATAGATACTTTAATAAAAACATCCTCATCACTAGACTTTTTACACTTTCTCTTTGTTCGATAATCCAAAAACATGAAAGGTATTCATCACTGAGTTTGGTTTTGGGGAGACATATTTGGGTGTCTATAGAAATATAGATTAAGGATATGTTCGATTTAGATTAATGAAAGGAGAGATTTTATTGATAAAACTAATATATTATCTCAATTGAATCTTCAAAGATATTGAACAATGTTGTCCTCAAATTACAATTTGTTTCAAGCGATGAATGAAAATAAGCAAAGAAAGAGGTAGATGGAATGAAAGAGCAAGAAGGATGGAAACTAAAAAAATTGTGAGAAAAATAAAATAAATGGGGTTAATTAACTGTTTTTTTCTAATATATATATATATATATATATATATATATATATATATATATATATATATATTCAGGATCATGTGAGAACCAAGTCCTATAATAGGAACTAGGAACTCATCTAGACTGTTGATCGCGCTCAATCTAACGGCCCATATTCCACCTGCCTCATTAAGGGCAGTTTTGTAATTTCATGCATTGAATGACCTTTGTTCTCACTCCTAACGCTGCTTCATTTTCTTTCTCTCTCTTCATTATATTTTCTCTCTCCTCCTTCAAATTCTCTATTTCGATTTCACCAATCTTTTGCGAATTCTCACGTCGAAGGCAAATTAAAGGTTTGGTAAGTTGATTTATTTTCATTTTTGTTGTTTTCTTTGATTTAATTCGATTTTGAAACAAGCTTTTTGCGAATTTCATTGCGAAAGTTTGGGTTTCCCAATTATTTGTTTGAGTATTTAATTTGAATTCGTTTTTTGTTTATTCTGTTTTCGATTCAATTGAGATTTGCATTCAATTAGTTATTGCGTTTTTTTTAATCAATTAGTATTAGAATTAGGGTTTAAACTAGTATTTTCCTTTCTTTTATTCACCAATTAGTGTTTATATTCAGTTGGTTGTTGCATTTTAACCAATTATTGGTTGAATTTACACCTTGATTAGTTTGTAAATTTTGTTATTCAGTTAGGGTTTGTAATTTTACTCAATTTGGATTATTTGATTGTGACTATCAGTTTTGAGTAATTTTTATACTTCGAGTGCTTAATATATATTCATTTATATGACATGCCAGGAGGATATAGAGAAGTTGGTGGATCGAGTTAGGAGCTTAGAGGAAGGTTCTGTAATGGATACTGCGATTTATTATCTACTCCATGGGTCGTTGCCCCCAGAGTTACATGTTTCGTTTTTATAGTTTCTTGGTTGATTTTTATGGTTAGATTACTCCATATATATTGAAATGTATTGATGAACTATTGATGTTAACTTTGGTTGAAATTTATTGATGTATGGGATTGATTGTACTTTCTGGTTCTGCATTGTGTCATGCTCTCATGCTGCATTGCTTCTAGTTACATAAATCATCTTACTAGCTCAATGTATGTGTATGTGTTCACTTGAGTGTGTGTGTGTGTGTGTGCGTGCGCGCACGTGCAACTATTAGGCATTTCAAATTAGGGTAGCAGAATGATCGTGTTGACTATTATTGCCCTGCCACGTAGGCCCTGCCAAAGCTGCAACTACTGCCCTAGAGGTCCTGCCAAGGCTGCAGCTACTGCCCTGGAGGTCCTACCAAGCTTACAGCTGCTGTTGTACAAGCCCAGCTGCACAATCGTGTGTGTATTTGTGTGCAATTGCTAGGCATGTATATTTATGCTTTGTAATACTCTTTTCTGTAACCCTGTACTTTCTTTTGGTAGTTGACAATGATTATCCAAGAGACACTTCGTCTCTACCCACCAACAGTATTTTCTGTAAGAACAACACTATAAGATGCCAGGCTAAAAGACATTCAAGTTCCAAAAGGACTCGATTACCCAAGTTCCAATAGCTATGTTGCAACAGGATCCAGATCTATGGGGGCAGATGCGAAAGAATTTCACCCTGAAAGATTTGCAAATGGAATTGCAGCAGCATGCAAAGTCTCGCAAGCTTACATACCTTTTAGGTACGGAGGTCGTGTATGTCTTGGCAAAATTTCGCTATGATGGAACTCAAAGTGTTTTTATCTCTCATTTTGTCCAAGTTCAGCTTTTCGCTTTCACCGGGTTATCAATTATCAGCACAACCCTGCATTTAGGCTAGTAATAGATCCCAGGTTATATCTCTCGTTTATGTGTGTGTGTGTGGGGGGGGGGGGGGGGGGTTATATGTGTGCACTCGTGTGCAGTGGCGGAGCCAGGATTTACAAATTGGGGGGACGGATTATGGATATAATATAATTAGACAAAAATCTTAACCAAAAAAAAAAACAGGAACATTAATCTCATTCCAACTACTTGATCATCTACCTATCATCTTAGCATAAATGTGAATTAAACTAAAGTAAACTCAATACACAAATTCAGATTAACAACCTATACATTCGAATTTTACTACAAGTCATTTTGCAAACAATCAAAAATACCTAAAATTTCTATAAATTTAAACAAAAAATTAAAAATCAAAGCATCCCTCAAAAATACGATAAACCCATATCAAATTAACAAACACCCAAAAAAAATTAGGTTATTAGGGTTTATAGAAAACAAACTTTTAGAAGATCTGAGGGTTTTGAGAACAGCCTTGTAACCAAGAGTGTGCTTTCCACTCTTCATAACAAGAGCCAATCTGTTGTTGATGCTCTCATGAGTCTTCTTTTGCAATTCAACCCAACATTCAAGTTTCAATTCTTAAGAGAAATACTAGGCAATGCAGATTTAAAATGTTGCTCTAGACATGATAATATATTAAAATCCGGGTACAAAACTCAATATTGATGAAAAAATTATTAAAAACTATGCAGTATATATAATGACAAACATGCAGTAAATATACCTACATAAACCTCTTATTTCTCGATCTCTTTCTTTATGATGGGAAATTCTTCAAATGATGCTTAACTGATGAAATTCACAAAAATAACAAATCAGTCTTTTCTTTTAGAGAACCCCATATTAATCTACAAAAATGTTATAATTTTAATTTTTTGGGTACATTTACCGATTTTCAGTAAATTAGATGGGTTCGTTGACAAATTAAAAGGGCAAATTCAGCGAAACACGAATTTTGAGCAGAGAACTTTACCTAATTGCGAGGATGAAAGCTTCGGCACATTATATGGTTCGCTGATTGAAATTCGACATACCTATTTCACCAAATTGGAACGAATTTGTAGTTTAGGGTTTTTCAAGCAAAATTTCGACATTGATATTGACAGAACTATTTCACCAAAATTTCGAAATTAATATTGATATACCTGTTTCACCTGAGAAGCTGATTCATTGCAGAATGGAAGGCTCAGAAGCCGCTACAATGGAGAATTTAAAGTACGGCTTCAATGAATAATTCAAGGTACGACTTTATGGAGAGGAGGGAGGAGCGAGGTTGAAGAAGAGAAATGAACGAGCGTCGAGCGGCTTGCAGAAGAGAAATGAACGGGCCACCTTTTTTTTTTTTTCTTTTTTTCTTTTTTTCTTTTCTTTTTTATTTAATTTTTTTTTTTTGAAAATGGGGGGACAAGTGTCCCCACTCGTCCCCTTCTAGCTCCGCCCCTGCTCGTGTGTGTGTTTGTGTGCAATTGTTAGGCATTATTGCAGATCGATGAGGGTAATAAAATGTTGTGCTTTGGCTATTTAGGCGAGTTGTGTTGGCTGCATTTCTGCAACATGCTCATCACATTTTGAGTTATTTGGTCTACTTTTAAGTTATGTTGCTTCACTTTAATGAATATACGAGCAATCGAGATTGTAGAATCTGAATTACTTTTTGGTGGAATAGTATTTAATAGGTTTATCAATCTATCTATTTGAGCACTCGTGTGTGCACTCGTGTGTGCACTCGTGTGTGTGTTTGTGTGCAATTGTTAGGCATTATTGCAGATCGATGAGGGTAATAAAATGTTGTGCTTTGGCTATTTAGGCGAGTTGTGTTGGCTGCATTTCTGCAACATGCTCATCACATTTTGAGTTATTTGGTCTACTTTTAAGTTATGTTGCTTCACTTTAATGAATATACGAGCAATCGAGATTGTAGAATCTGAATTACTTTTTGGTGGAATAGTATTTTATAGGTTTATCAATCTATCTATTTGAGCTGCTTGAAATGAATAGATTTCTTAACACCTTATGAGTTTGCTACGTATATTGTATAGACATTTTAATTTACTTTTCATATTTTTTATTTACTTTTCATTTTTTTTTCGAATGTTAAATATATACTAGCCTACTAGCTCAATTGGTAGAGCATTGTGCACTTGCACAAAAGATGTGGGTTCAAATCCCACAAAGGTTTATTCACTTTTGAGAACTTTTTATTTACTTTTGAGTCATTTTGTTTTACTTTAAAGGTTTATTATACACTAGCCTGCTAGCTCAACAGGTAGAGCATTGTGCAAATGCACAAAAGATGTGGATTCAAATCCCACGTAGGTTCATTCATTAGACATAACTATTTTTTTTATTCACTCTACTTTTATGATTTTTTTTATTTACTTTTAGAATATTTTGATTCGACTTCTTTTATTTATTTTTTTTAAAAGTATTTTTTTTATTCTTACTTTAAAGTCAATTTTATTTACTTAGTCTTTTTTATTTACTACAAAGACCACGAAACTATTTTTTATTCTCTACTTTTGAGATCTTTTTATTTACTATTAGAATTTGAATTTAGTCATTTTTATTTTCTTTATATTCTTTTTTATTTACTTTAGAGACCATAATTTTTTTTTTTTATTCACCCTACTTTTGAAATTTTTTTAATTTACTTTTAGAGTATTTCAATTTACTGTGAATTTTTTTTTATTTACTCTATATTTTTTTTTTTTACCGTAGAGATCACTTCAAATTATGATCGTGTTTTATGAAATTTGACAATTGAGAAAATATATATATAGAATAGAGCATCAATATTAGAGGAACTTATTTCTTTGTATCAACAAGTAGAGCATAAAATATGCGGGTTCAAATCCCACGTAGGTTTATTTATTAGATAAAATAAATTTTTATTCACTGTACATTTGAGATTTTTTATTTGCTTGTAGAGTATTTCGATTTACTTTTTAGTATTTAATATTCACTTTTATATTTATTATTTTAGATAACCTATGTAGGAACCGAACCTACACCTCTATGCATCCGCATAGCGCTCTACCACTAGAGCTAATAGGTTTACTAAAGTCTTTTTTATTCACTTTAGATTCTTATTTATCTACTTTAGAGACCACTTTTTTTTTTATGAGGAAAAGCGAGGGAGCTTTCATTAATCAATTAGGGACAAATTGTCCATTAGTACATAAGGCATAACATCACTAGGACAACAATTAGACCATACTTGTTCCACCCCGTATGGAAAAAGACGAGCCAAATGGCGAGCAACAAAGCTCCCCTCCCACTTTACATGAGACTAATTTGGTAAAATCAAAGTGAGAACAGAAGAAAAAGATGTCATCGAGGATTGAATCTAAATTTGCCAAGAAAGTAGTAGCCTTCAAAAGCCTTGAGATAATGTTACTGTTATCCGATTTAAGGATAATGTTCTTGAGGCTAAATTGCTTTGTAGTCTTGATTGCAAATAGGACAGCCTTGCACTCAGCTAGCTCTGGAGGCCAGTAAGCTCTTACCCTTCGAGTTGCAGTAAAAACAACTTCCCCTATGTGATTACGCGCAACGGCTCCTAATCCCACCCATCCATCAACATTCATAGCAGCATTACAATTGACCTTAATGCAACCTTGAGTAGGGGCCTTCCATATTTTCGGACTGGTGAGTTTCCTTGTAATCTGACAGCCATAAATTCCGGTACAGTACTCTGACAATAAATTTTGATGTTTACTTTAGAGACCACTTAAGAATTTCACGAAGAACAAATTTATTTATTAACTTGTAAACAATCAAATTAAACCAAGGACATATGCAAACATGATCAAAACAATGAAATACGAGCAAACAACATCAATGATCCCCCAGCATAAATGTCATGATTCCTTATGTGACATTACATCTCCAAAAACTAAAAGGATCTTCCTAATTAATCTTCACCATCAACCAAATACATCTCATTTGCTTTAAATAAAACACTATTTACTTTACATGTAAAATCATTTACTTTACCAAAAATCGAAAACTCCCAAAAACAATACTCTGTCCATATTAATTAGAAAGCTAAAAATTAGTTAATTTTTTTTTAAAAAAACCTTAAATTATGTATATGTAATCTCACTAATACAACTTAATTTATAAATTCAACTTGTAAATCTCACAAGAATCATCCATAGGACCAATTAGCATGAATTTAAGCTCCAAAATTAGTCTAAATTAGCTAATGAAACCGAAAAGC